CTACGATAATTTTCAGTAGGGCATAGCATAGAACTGCCTGGAGAACCTAGAAAATTCCTAGAGAGAACATATTCCATCAGATGCGGTTACATGAAACCTTTGGTACTGGTTTAGTGGGTACAAGAAGTGAAGTGTATCCAAATTTATCTTCCTCTTTAGTTGACAAAGCATTTTGCAAAAGACCTCCAAAGAAAGTTCCTGAGCCTCCCTTATCTCGTGCTCCCTTAGGAAGAGCTTTTCTGTATAACTTTCAAATTAGATATAGAGAAAACAAAAATAACCCTATGTGACAGTAGCTTGGTAATTCTTTGAAAGAGAAATGCTCAACCTGTCAGCACTTATGACTCATTCAGATGATACATATGTAATATCAAGTGTGTGTTTATACAAGCAAGCATAACCCATGATCCAGAAACTTATAATAATGAGGTTACTGCCAACTTACAAAATAAAGAAATCATCAGAGCCATTATCTATTAATTTCAGGCTCTTTGATTAGGTCATGTGAATGTGAACTCAGGAACAGGAAAGAAACCTCAAGTGGAATAAGTAACATCTGAACTGACTTTGACCTTTACCTCTGGCATTTAACTTCATAAAACTTCAATTAATCCATGCAAGACAGACCACCTGTATAAGTTCACTATCATAACAAAGGAAGCAAATAGTGTTGTTCATCCACTGTGATTCAACTTTGTAAAGGAGAGCACTTTCCTACATAGTGTTTTGAAACTATTGCCAGGTTATATATTTGCACATCTAGATAGATAGATAGATAGATAGATAGATAGATAGATAGATAGATAGATAGATAGATAGATAGATCTATCAGAACCTTTACCTGTGTTTCTCTGAACTGACAGATTTTGGTTTACCTTATTTCTGCCCACAACTGAAGTCAGAAAACAGAGGTAAGGTTCTACGAGATTAGCAGCAGTTTAGAAACACAGTGGTTATACTGTTTCGCAGGTGCTTACTAACACTTTGCCAGTGTAAGTGACTTTAATTTTCTTTTCATGAACCATGTAGATCTTCAAGTAGAAAGAAAACAGTCATTTGTGCTTGGAAACTATCTAGGTCGTTTTATGAAAGATCAGGTTCATCAGTGAGAAAAAGAGACCATTTCATTTAATGAAGGGCAAGAGGAGTTTGTAACCAGAGAACTGTTGTATAGATTTTTTTTAACACTGACACTGAAGATCCTGAAATCAACAGCTGCAGGAAGGCTATATAGTAGACCACACACAGTGCATGATATGCTAAAGAAGGGACAACAGTATGCTCTATTCAACTCATGAACTATGAGAAATGATGGGGTTACTCACCTGTTACATATCATGTAATACCTACCTAGTGATTATCAATAGGACCATTTATATTACAAATTGTTTTCAAAGAGGGAATAAAGTAAATGAAGTACAATATATATGAACTCTCTGTAGTCTGAAAGGACAAAATATTGAGTACACTCATATCTCAGTACTCAGCTAGTATTTCTAACAATACATAGAAATTTGAAATGTGGTTCGCAAACAGCTCTGATCACTAAGAGGTAAAAATCCACAACCAAGACATTTTGTGTAGAGGGTTGGAATTCCAGCCATTACTGCCAGCTACTTGCTGCCAGCTTGAGCCTATAAATATATATAAGCAGGAAAAAAATTAAACACTTTAACAATGCCTAGTCATGGATATGTAAGCAGAGCTAAAGATAGGTGACTCAGATACTACTAGTAGTGTGATAAATTTGTAAGTCAGAACAGGTGCATTTTTAAGTGTAATTCTGGATACACACACACACATGCTTTAGATAGCATAGGGAAACCATCTCTGTGGTCTTTCTTTTGCTGTCTGTGCCCCTGTTCAGAAGATTTCACCTCACTTTCTGCCTCCGTAACAATTGGATTTTGACAAAATGTGGCTTGTTTGTGGAAAAAAGGATTGGTGAGAAAGCTCTAGTGGAGACACCTTTTCCCCATGATAACTCCTTCAGGAGTGAACTTGCCTTCACAGGTAGATTTATCTCACTTCCTGTTACTTCAACCCTATTCTTAACTATGAGTCATAGAATCATAGAGTTGGAAGAGACCTCGTGGGCCATCCAGTCCAACCCCCTGCCAAGAAACAGAAAAACTGCATTCAAAGCACCCCCGACAGATGGCCATCCAGCCTCTGTTTAAAAGCCTCCAAAGAAGGAGCCTCCACCACAATCCAGGGCAGAGAGTTCCACTGCTGAACAGTTCTCACAGTCAGGAAGTTCTTCCTAATGTTCAGATGGAATTTCCTTTCTTGTAGTTTGAAGCCATTGTTCTGCATCCTAGTCTCCAGGACAGCAGAAAACAAGCTTGCTCCCTCCTCCCTATGACTCCCTCTCACATACTTATACATGGCTATCATGTCTCCTCTCAGCCTTTTCTTCTTCAGTCTAAACATGCCCAGCTCTTTAAGCCGCTCCTCATAGGGCTTGTTCTTCTTTGAACATTTTAGTTGCCCTCCTCTGGACACAGTCCAGCTTGTCAACATCTCCCTTCAATTGTGGTGCCCAGAATTGGAAACAGTATTCCAGATGTGGTCTAACCAAGGCAGAATAGAGGGGTAGCATGACTTCCCTTGATCATTTGTAAGTTGGATGCTTGAAACTCAGGGACTGCTGGTACATAGGAAATCATGGAACCAGTTTGGAGCCAGGATGCTGAGTGCACAAACCACAGAGCCCAAATGCACATTAAGTGCTTTCTTTCAGTCACCTGCCCCCCACAGTTTGAGATCAGCTTTGAACTTTATTACATAGACAGCATAGATGGGCCACAGTTAAAATGCATAGTTGAAACACAACACCATGAAACACCTATACTAAAAGACATAGGCAGAGGTTTGGATGCTGGACTAAGTACATCTACACTTAGAATGAATGCAGTTTGACACCACTTTAACTGCCCAATTTAATTGTTATATATAATTATTTCTGAAGGAAATACATATGAACATGACTATCAGATATATTACCAATGCAAAGTCCTATATGTTTTAAGGATCTATTCAAATATTGATGCTAAAAATACATCAGTAGTCCCCAGTGATACCGTGGAACTTTTATATTGTGTAATCATGTCATTCCATCATTTTTCATACTATATTAAACACAGAAACACATAAATAAAATTATTTATGTTTTCATGCCAAGAAGAATCCAAATTTTTATTATTAAAGCAAAACTAAGATGACCCATTAAGTCCATCCACTGCCATCAATATTTTTTACTCTCCGCTTTCTTCGATCCTTCAATAATGCTAAGAGAGAGTCTTTATTTTTTTTGCATAAAATATGGCTGTAGGAAGGCACAAATTATATAGATAGATAGATAGATAGATAGATAGATAGATGATAGATAGATAGATAGATAGATTATTATAGGTATAAAGTAAAAACTAAAAAACTGTCTATGTAAAACTGGCATGTTTGCAACATATTATGTGAACAGAAATAGTATTTATGAGTATAAAACAAAATGAAAAAGTATAGAGGGCTTGTTTGGTTTCTTTAGATGCCATGAACTGAAGTTGGGATGTCTGGCTCAGAAAATTTATGAAACACTGGTCCAGCTAAAACAGAGAGAACTCATCCACTGTATACTGTTCTTTACTTGCCCTGAATACCACTTCTTGTTAACCTTTTAGCAAACAAGTTTAAGTGTACATGTTGGTTAAGCGATAAGGTTAAGAGAGAGTATAAAGAAAAGAAGACACAGAACAGTGAGAGAATTCAACTGACCACTTTGCAAGATGAGATCACATGGTTTAAGACAGAATTTTGCTAGATGACAGTTTTCAGACTTATCACAATTATATTATGTTCTTCCTAATCCATCCAGCAAAAAATTCTAGTTGTAGAAAGGCAACTTTAAAACAACAAGTAGAGATAAAAAGTGGGATTTTCAAGTAAATTGCCTGACTTGTTTCAAAAACTAGCATTTAACTAACAAACCTCACACTTACAAACAATGCATAGTTACAAACAAAATATTTTTGGCTAGAGTTACACTTTAAAAATGTACCTGTTCCGACTTACACAACTTAAGAACAAATCTACAGAACCTTGTTCGGAACTTGGGAATGCCTGTAATTTAAACAATTCTCAATATTCACAACAAGGGAATACTAGAGAAAATAAACCACACAGTTTCAGATATCAATGCTATTACAAAAGGTGCTCAATAGAATTTAACTGTTTCAGGCTGCTATGCAGAAGATAAAAGCCAAAATGTGTTTTATTCACACTCATTGTTGTATAAATACACTAATAATTGCAAAACATAACAGAGAACAAAGATGGTGATGTCTTAAAGTTAGAAGGCTCGTATAAATCAAAAGACAGGTTTATTGTCTCAAACAGATCATTCCCTTTTAGATGACTTCTAAAATACTGATTTGTTAACATTTCGGTAATGATCAAACTCAAACATTTCAATAACGGAGTTAACAGTCTCTAAAAAAGAGAACCAACTGAATCACTACGAACACTGATACTGCACAAATATACTGTGAGAAAATTCTGAGAAAGTTCTGATAAAATAGCAAAAGTTGGCTACCAACACATCTGAAATTAAACTAACTGTAAACCATAGATGTTGCTTGATGTTGCCAAAGGTAATAAGATGGTTAAATAAAGCTACGGTATAATCTTTTTATTTTATAATATTTTTATTCACATCGATTTACTGAACATAATTGATAGGGTTACTTAAATTAACATAATTGTTCAATAAGTCTAATTCAATTAAGCAAAATTTACAAATGTATCAATATGGAAAGTCTAGTTTATTTTTTCAATGCAACATAAATTATAGTTTAGCAAGAGCAAAAGTGTACTTAATATAGTTTGAATTATCCTAATTAGCCAAGTTTTGGATTATACACAACTATGCTGAGGAAAAAAACTCAGAAACCTGCCAAAGAGAAGAAAGATAGGGTTACTTAAATGTGAAGTATAACTTTACATACCTTGGCCTCCGAAATGCTGTACCATATTGTTGGCAGGCCAAGCCGACAGTGGGAGTATAAACAATAGGCATAAATCTTTCAATGTCAGAAGTTAGCACTTTATAAAACAGTTTTTCATTTCGATCCTGAAGGCCCATTAGCAGGATATACCTGTAAAAATGAATGATAAATTAGTCTCCTATGTGCACCCCCAGATGAGTGAAACAAATACTTTTTTTCTTCTCCAATAAAACTGTTTTGAACTCTGGGAAAGATTTGTCTCTGCCCAGGGCACTTCACCACTACCAGGAGCCCTATCCAATGATATCAAGAATCCAGCATAGTGAATGGCTCTGCTTTCCCATTTATTCCCCTTGAGCTACTATGGAGAGCTGTGGCTTGAAGGATTACAGAGGGAAAGAGAAAGAAGTTCCATTATATGTGCCAGCAGCACTTCAGTCCCTTAGAGGAGATAGGGCGAAATACAAATAAAGTCTTCTCCTTCTCCTTCTCCTTCTCCTCCTTCTCCTTCTCCTTCTTCTTATTGGATGTAGGCCCATATCACAATCAGATCCAAATTAATTTCAATAAGTGAAATGAAAATGACAGCAAATGTAAAACTATTTGGCACATTCATTATTATTTTATTGTTATTCACAATGTATCTTCAGAGACAGAGTAGGCTGGTGGAAGAAATATAAATTATTTTCCAAATATAGATCATATAGATAAATTATATTTCAACTCTTCCATCTAACGAATTGCTTCAGTTGTATTAGTTTTTTAATATGCCTATTTTTAATGTAGTAAAGAATACTCACTGAAATCCTATACACAGGTACTTAAGGACAATTCGCATTGAACTCTGGTCATTTTACTACCCCAAGTATAATTTAAAATTTTATTGTCGTGTTCTATGCCTCTCCCAGTCCAAAGAATGCTTGTTATTTAATAAAAGGGATACAATTAAAAAGTGACAGCAGGTGTGTTCCAGAGATGCACATGCACAAACTTATGTTAAGCCGCTTTGAATCTCCTTTGGGGGAGATAAAGCAAGGTATAAATAATAATAATAATAATAACAACAACAACAACAACAACATCAACAACAACAGTGCTCCGTGCCGTCATGCTGGCCACATGACCTAGGAGCTGTCTATGGACAACGCCAGCTCTTTGGCTTAGAAATGGAGATGAGCACCAGCCTCCAGAGTCAGACATGACTAGACTTAATGTCAAGGGGAAACCTTTACCTTAATAATTAGGAATTTATTCCATGTAAAATTATTCCAAAAATCCGACCCCACCTCCTAGCGGTGCTGGCTGGATAACCAACTAATGGGGCAACCGTCTGTAGTGACAGGCAGAATGGCGCACCAGCTGCAGTACAAACAGTCGCATCAACCTGTCAAAACCAAAGGTTGTTTTTTTTGTTTTTTTGAGGAATGCCCAAAACAAAGCCCCATGAAACGACAGGCAAAGCAGACCCTATGAATTCATCGGACACACACTAGGAAGAAGAAGATTCCATGTAAAATTTATACATAGATGATAAGTATAGAAGACAGTATTTTCTGTTGAGAAATGAACATTTCTGTGTCGAAATATTATTTTCCATGTAGAGAAGGGGTTTTCCTGCAAGGAAAATGCCAGTTTCTGTGTAAAACCCTCACATGCAAATTTTGCACAGAAAAAGTCCCAAACTATGAAGCTTCCAGTCAGTCCATGATTCTTTTCATCAGTTTCCCAACACTTGAAAAACTTGTTTTTTCTTACCAGTTTCAAATATTTTGGATATTCTTTCCCAAGATAACACACACACCCTTTTACAGATCCACAAGCCACACACCCCTCCCCCAAACACACACATGCAAACATACTTGATAAGAAGCCGCTCCTAAACTTTTGTGAGCAACTTGTTGCCAGTGTTTGGGGGCTCCAAAGCCCCCTTTCAATCCTCTGTTCATTCCTTCTGTTTCTAATTCCCATTAATTTCCTAAAACTGAAGGTGGCATATACAGTCTTTCCACACGAACTCTCATCAGGCAATGATTAGATCAAAACCTGCTTCAGTTCAGCAAGAACGCTGTTGATTGGCATGCCTTCCTACTGTATCCCTGGCCAACTGATCATGCAGAAGCTCCCAATGCAACAACTGGGATTCTGACCAAAGTGTCAGACTATAAAATATATAAAACTGCAGAGTTTAATTTCAGTTTTGGACATTTTATCGGCCAAATGGGGGAAAATACCAGAGTTACATATCTATTTTTTCTACATTGTTTCAGAATTGTTTGCCAGGTGTGCTTTAGTTTATGTCCAAAGAATAAGTTAGCCTCCCCTCTGCTTCATTTCGACCTTACACTTGAATTCTGGGAGAGTTCCCTCTCTCTAAAGTAGCCAAGCTCATAAGCCTTAGTTCTGAATGATATACACTTTTGCTGGGTGACCCTTTTTGAGATGTTCATTTCATTTCCATTGGAAAATGACAGGTGGAAAATATATTATGAATAAACTAATGTATACTATGCCAGACAGCTCAGGCATGCATGGCAGCCAGAGGACTGAAACACAGTCTTTTTCTGAATATTTGCCCATTCTCTCTTTATTTCTTCATTCTCAAAGACCAGCTGCTTCCATTTAAACCTCAAATGGTCTGTCATTCTTCTGTTCGTTTCTTTGGAGCAAACCTGGGCTGTATATTCTGCAAAAATGATCTCCTGGGTAAGGTATGTGGAAAAGACTGCTGAAAGCTCAACAGGAGGAAAAGTGTTTTTAAAAGTTACTAACATGATTTATTTTGAAAGTTAGGATATTGTACCTAATTTTAATTCTACATAGATAACAAATAAATAGTGATTTATGTTTGTTTGCTTTTGAAACACAGGGCATCCTGTTAATGGTTTATGATTTCAGTACTGTAGTACTATTATACACAGACACACACTGTGTAGTCTATTCTACAAACTGGTTTCAGAGCAGTATATGGAATTGAGACTGCTATGGTCGCTTAGTGGATGATCTCTGTCTCAACACCAATAGGGGTTGTGTGTCTCTGTTGGTGCTTCTAGACTTCTCAACAGCTTTCGAGACCATTGACCAAAGTATCCTTCTGGAATGCCTGGGGGGCTGGGAATCGGAGGCACTGTGTTGCAGTTTCCAGATGGTGGAAGGTTCCAGATGGTGGTGTTTAAGGATAGCTATTCCTCAAAAAAGGAACTGTTATGTTGTATCCCACAAGGTGCCATTCTATCCCCAATGCTCTCTAATAGTTACATGAAGCCACTGAGAGAGATCATCTGTAAGCATGGGGTGGGGTGTTACTAATATGCGGATGACATCCAGATATATTTATCCATGCCTTCAAAAACTGCCTCAACTAAGGATAGTGTGTCTCCTCTGAATGAATGCCTGCAGGAAGTAATGGGCTGTATGAGAAAAAAACAAATTGAAACTGAATCCAGACAAAACAGGTGGGTTGAGGTGAGTTAAAGAATAATCAAAACACATACACATTGTAAAAATACTACAAATACACATATTAAAATGTATTTTTAATAAAAGATACATATTAAATTGTATTTCCATAAAATACATATTAAAATACACAAAACAGAGATTGAACAAAGGACACAAGTTTAAAATTTATGCTTAAAAGTGGCTGGGTAGGCCTGCTGGAGAAGATAGGTCTTTAGATGGTTTTTAAATTTTGACAATTCATTTAGCTGTCGGAGCTTTTCTGGCCGGTCATTTCACAGTCTTGGTGCGGGCAATGCAAAAGGTAGTGGTTGCCAGTTGGGTTCTGACAGGCTGGAGCAGACTTCTCCCAGAGGACCTAAGTGTGCAGGGCGGATTGTATGGGAGAAGGAAATAGATAACCTAACCTGGACCCAAACCATGTACTGCTTTAAAGGTCAAAACCAACACCTTGTACTTTGCCTAGAAACGAATTGGCCACCAGTGGAGTGACTTTAGGATAGGTGTGATATATTCACTCCTGGATATTCCTGTAACCAATCTGGCTGCCGTATTCCTCTCTTAAAGGGAACAAAGGTAGCCCAATGTAAAGCTCATTGCAGAAGTCCAACTTTGAGGTTACCAGTGCGTGCAGTATCATCTTCATGTTCTCCAAATCTAGAAAGGGGCACAGGTAGCAGTTCAGCCAAAACTGATAGTAAGCATTCCTGACCGTTGCATCTACCTGAGCTGACATTTGGAGAGACGACCCAGAAGCACTGGATGCATCCCTCTGTTTTGTCCTCTGGGAGGCATCTGCTCCAGCCTGTCAGAACCCAACTGGCAACCATTACCTAGAGGACCTTTTGCATCGGCCACACCAAGACTGTGAAATGACCGGCCAGAAAAATTCCAACAGCTAAATGATCTGTCAAAATTTAAAAACCATTTAAAGACTTATCTCCTCCGGCAGGCCTACCCAGCCACTTTTTAAACATAAAGTTTAAACTTATGTCTTTCGTTCAATCTCTGTTTTGTGTATTTTAATATGTATTTTATAGAAATACGTCTTAATATATATCTTTTATTTTAAAAATACATTTTAATATGTATATTTGTGGTATTCTTACAATGTGTATGTGTTTTAATTCTTCTTTAACCCACCTCAAGTCAAGAGGAGAGGCAGGTAAAAAATATATTTATTGTTATTATTATTATTTAGTAAGAAAATGGGTCCAGGGTCTTCTTACACTCACTGCAGAGACCAGAAAGTCACAGGTGAGGAAATGTAGTTTGCAGATGTAACGTGACTCCTGAGGACACATTTTTCAGCTCCTAAGACTCCCTGGAAATCCCCCCAAAGACTTAAGACAACCTCACATGATTCCTGGGACTACAGCAAAAGGAGATTATTGTACGGAGGAGAACAAAGGATCAACAGCAATATTGATCCCAAGATAAATCAAGGGCAATGTGACTATGAGACTGCCACAATGTGGTAGTAATAAGTTCCACCAACAGGCACTTTTAACCTGTCATAATTGCACTTTAGCAGCCTCATGTGACATTTAGCAGCTTCATGTGACAAAGTTCTTAACTATGGAAAAACCAGACCAAGAAAAGTTTGTTCCTTTTTAAACCTTTGAATTCTCTCTTCCTAAGAGAAATTATTTTTCAATTTCATGCTTTGTCTACTAGAAAGAGCCATACTGGCCAGATATAGACTGATTTATCTCTAATTGAAAGCTTTATGATTTGATGTGTAATCTGCAGATGAGATCACATTCTGGCTCTGCATGAATTTCTAGCTGAAGGTGCATCAAACTGCTCTAATTCAGATGAACATTAACACCAATGCTGGTGGTCCTTTTCAAGTTATAATTCTACCTCAACATAAAATATAAGAAACAACAATCCTTATTCAACACAAAGAGATTTGTGATGAAAGAAAATACTGTTTCTGTCACATTTTCCATCAAAGTAACTTTTTAAGAATGCTGACACATCCCACTCCCACCTTCCAAAAAGACTGACAAGGCACTTGAGATTTTACCTGTCAAGATCAGATGTTTGTCTTTCAAAGTTTGTTAAAATCCTTAAAACCTGAAGGTCTTGACTGAGAAAACATGGAGGCAATAATCCATGAATATTCAACTGTTGTCTCTCTTCCAAGGTAAAAGCCAGACCCTGTAGAGTAAAAGAGAAGTTTGTTTGCTGAAAAGAATTTACTTTTAAAATGCTGAGTTTGCCAATTTGCTAACAAGAGCCATACTGTACAGCACACAGATCTCTAAGTACACACTCCCACATTTTAAAATGTTCAGTCTGACAACATTTACTTCACAATATGGACATTGAAAACATACTTCTAAAAGAGTATATTTTATTTTTCTTAACACTATTTATATAATTGTCCTTTCAAACATATAGGCATGAAACCAGTATTGCATTCTAAATATTCACATCTCAAAATCTTGAAAAGAGTGAAAAACGCCTCTTCCAGTTTAACAACAATTCTACCACTTCTGCAAATTAATTTCACACTGTTTAGGAACTATGTTCATCCCAAGTCCACAACCAAGGTTTCCAATATAACTATTTATGTCCATGTCAGACTATACAGAGAAGCCACTGAAATCCACAAGCATGTGGACAATTTCAACAGAAAGGAGAAAACAATGAAAATGAACAAAATCTGGCTACGAGTATTTAAAAAACTCTAAAATCAGGACAGTAAATAAAGACCAACACTCAAAAAGTAGGAAAATTGCAGCCAAGAATCAATCGGGGCCAGCTAACACCTCCCAACAAAGGATCCCCAGGAAGCAAGCAGCCAGGCTTTGAAGCTGCAAGGCTATTCAATGCTAATCAAGGTGGCCAGTTGCAACATTCACACTTGCCTCAAGCAAACAAGAGTTCTTTCATCCTGGGCATTCCAGATACATAAACCTCACTTGCCTCGTTTCCAACAGTCCTCTCAACCTCTGAGAATACCTGCCCTAGATGTGGGCGAAACATCAGGAGACAATGCTTCTGGGATATAGCCATACACGCCGGAAAACTCACAGCAACCCAATAACTATTTATATTTGAAGTTATAGTTATGCATTCTGTATCATTCTGACAGTATTATGGTAGATAGCGTAAAGGTTATGCTTCCACAATAATTCTAAGTGTGAAATCACTGGTGGGGGGCGCACACTATTTCGTTGCAATAATAGGCTCTATAGCTCTACTGAGGCAATATATTTCCTTTTTTAATTTCTCTATTTATGATATAGAGCTAAACAATAATGTCCTTTGAATCACTGTAGATCAGGCATGGCCAAATTCATACTAGCTGTTAGGATTAGTGGGAGTTGAAGTCCAGAACTCCCAGAGGGCCGAAGTTTGCCCATGCCTGCTGTAGATAGATAGTAAGACTCCTTGTATGGGAGAGAAAGGAAGGGGGAGAGAGATTTATATTTCATTTACCGTAAGAATGAAATTCAAGGAGTGTGTTTCTTCAATTCTAAGACACACTTATTTCCTATATAAACATTGCTAAAAATGGGGTGCATCTTAGAATTGGAGTGTATCTTATCTATTTTTATTGGTGATGATAGTACTGAAATTAAGGTGCGTCTTATAATCGATGGTGTCTTACAATTGAAGGAATACAGTAATATGTTTTCCCTTTAACTTGTTAGTTGAGTATTACTAAATTGACCCCATGAGCAGAAGGATCACTGATTCAAAAAAAGACCCCTTCAGCTGAACAGAAGAATCCTTCTGGTAGAGGGAGGGACGTTTAAGATCATCATTTTCTTACGCATGATCTCTCAGTTTAGTCAGCTTAGATTCTAAGGAGAGCTCAAGCTTGATATATATATTTTTGCCTACCTACAGTATCCACAGAAATCAAGCCCAATGAGAGTAAACCTATTTAATCTACAGAATGTACATAAATACCTATTTACTAAATTCCCATAACTTCATTGTGTCTAGTCAAAAGCAAAAGCATTTTAAATAAAGGTTTTGAAAGTATGTTTAATGGGAGAATAGTGCATGAATTTTCAACTGCAAGGTCCTTCCAAAGCCAAAGAGCCATCACAACTAAGCTTTTGTCTCACGTGCTCGATCTGATCTAACGGGTGGGCTGTACTTGTGAAACAGATCTCAGTATGCTGGCATGATCATTAGGCTGAAAAACTCCTTTATCTTATTTATTTATTTACCATATTTATATACTGCCTTTCTGAGCCCAAGGGTGACTCAGGGCAGTTATATAACCAAATTACAGACTAATTAGATAGATTAAATATATAAACTCGACTGAAATAAAAGGAATTTTCTTCCAAGAATAGGAGTTTTAATTTGGTTTTCATTGATTTCAAGGATAATGGTACAAGATCTCCAAAGAAAGAATCATAACATATCTGTAAAGAAAAATGTATTACTGTTTGATGCCAATAAAGAATCACGGAAACCTACCTGGGTTTTCCTAAGTGATAACTACAAACTTAGATTAATTGCACAACAGCAAAAAAGAAAGAGTCAATTTAAGATTTCTAATTTCTACTTCCATGCCATATCTATATATTTACTTTAGCAGTTTAAAGAAACCAGAGCATGTTACATTGGTTGTCCTTGTTATCCGGTTGTCCTTGTTATCCATAGTCAACCAAAAATGGCTCAAAGATATCCGGCTGAGGGGAGGGGGCTCCAAAAAGCAACCTTGCTTTTGCTGTATATTTCTGTAGCTTCCTACTACTTCACTGATCCCCAGGCTGTTTCCAGCACCCATATGTATATAAGAGACACTATTTTATTATGCCATTGTATATGATAGGGTTTCAGCATCCACAGATTTTGGTATCCATGGGGGTTCCTGAAATCAAATCCCAGTAGATATCAAGGGTTCACTATATTTAGATCAAAGGTCTTCTAGAAGATAAATCTTACAACCCATACTGTTAATAACTCAATACAGTGCCTGTCGCAATTCCACAAAGTAAGTTGCTATACAGGACCCGTGTCAATGGTCAGTGCCATAAGCAAAGCTGTCAGTCCAGTTTTCAGACCAGCCACAAATGATTTGTGTAAGGACATCAGTAACCTGCAGTATATAAGCAGAGCCAGAAAATGGCAAACTTTATTAATGGGATAATAAAGCTGTAAAATATCTGGACTTACAATATTTATTGGAGAGCAGAATGGAAATTGTTGCCACAAATCCCACACCATCTAGTATTCTAAGTCATGAATGAATCATGACTTCAGGACTTCAACTATTTTCAACATAAACAGACTTTTGGAAGTAAAAGAAAAACCTCAACTTTTCAAAAAGGTTTCAAGGCAGTGTTTAGAATAGAAGGGAGAGGAAACATGTAGATAAAAGGGTGAAAATAAAGCAATGGTGTTTAAATTTAAGGAGTATTAGTACAGAATGTATATGGGCCGTATATTGGCACAAGAAGGATGTCAAATGCCTTGGTTTTGTCAACAGTTCAATAATGTGAGCTGGGTTTGACAGCTAGAACAGAGACAAATTCATAACAATTAGATATATTCAACTGTTGTAGCAAGAAGCCTAATAGGATCTTGGAAACCTAGAAATACCTGTTTTTTCCTGGGGGCCTGGTAACTGAACCTTCGATTATGAGTTCTGCAGTTATCAAGATTTTATCGTACCGATCAAAATTATTGACAAAGGAAAGAAAAAGTATAAGAGCTCCAGAGAATTCTGAAATTCAACTGAGAAAATCATAGAAATATTACCATTTTGACATGACTACCCTGCTTAACAGTTCAATGGATCAAAGAACCTCTGCCTTTCATTTGGCAATGATCCCAAACATGACTGGAAGAAGTTTTTAATTGCCGCCTCCCACTAGAAAATTAAGAGCACTCGTTAGAACTAACATTAAGTTTAAGGTGTTATTAAGAGTGTAAACCAAACTTGCATATTTGGGCTGGATTTACGAGCCAGCTCTGCATTGTGGGTGCAACCAACTCCTCTTTTTTTAAATTGTCACTACATGCCAGGATAGGAGTGGTGGAAGGGCTATATGGTTTGCTTCATACTGATGAGGTCAAGAACAATGCTAGATAATTATATTGGATTAACACATGGCTAGTCCACCTCTACTACAGAATCCACTCCCAACCCACTGCAGCAGCAGGGTGGAGTCCAGTTGGGCAGAAATTGATTCATCCTTCTTGGGCTGTTACCTTATCTGTCATCCCTGTCACTGTGGCAGGTGGCTGCAAAACTCCAGAGAGTGTCTGGTTGTCACCAGATACCTTCACAGACAACAACAAAGGTGCCCACACAACCAGGGGAAAGGAAGAGTAAAATCGTGGAGGAGGAGCTGATCCTTCCTCCTTCTTCCTGATCATATCGACATTTTTGTCAATATCAGCAAAGAGGACTGGCAATGGCCAACAGTTTTCAAGAGCTCTCTGACCATCTGCTGCAGTGACCAGGGTGACATGATCCAAATCAATTCTCTGTTTCCTGTGCTACTACTGATGACATCAGACTGTGTAGATAGCAGGCTTTTTTTTTTTGTCGTGTCAGGAACAACTTGAGAAACTGCAAGTCACTTCTGGTGTGAGAGAATTGGCCGTCTGCAAGGACGTTGCCCAGGGGACACCGGATGTTTTGATGTTTTATCATCCTTGTGGGAGGCTTCTTTCATGTCCCCGCATGAGGAGCTGGAACTGACAGAGGGAGCTCATCCGCGCTCTCCTCGGATTCGAACCTGCGACCTGTCGGTCTTCAGTCCTGCTGGCACAGGGGTTTAACCCACTGCATCACTGGGAGCTATCTCTGTGTAGATAGCAGGTTTATTCACACTGAAGTGCGGGATTGCTTTTGAGTTTTAACAAAACTCCAGAACATTCCCTGACTTTGCTTATCGTGGGGCAAAAGTGGTTCACTCTGGTTTACCCAGAATTTAAGACCAGAGGTCCCTGGATGCCATTTGGGCTACATCCAGTAATGCTGGTGTAGATTAGCCCACAGAAAGAGAAGAATAAGACCATACTGCTCTTCCACATGTTTGTGAGTTTACCAACTACATTGCTTGGAAAAGGGGAGGCTGCCTGAAACAGAGTGGAGGGTGTAGGTAGTAAAGGGGGGGGGGGGGGGGGAACTATTGTCATTGGCAACATGCAAAGGAGAGGCAAGGAGCCTAACCCAA